AATCACTCGTACGCACAATTTAAGAACAAATCTGTGCGTACGAACGGTTCTTGCATGAGGCCCAATGAATTTTGGTTGTTCTTTTTTTTTCAGGTTTTTATTTAATAGAATTTTTGGACAAAAAAATCTCAATATATCGCCTTGCTTACAGTATCGCAATATATCGGGATATATCGTATCGCGACCCCTCTCTCATGATATGTATCATATCGCCAAATTCTTGCCAATACACAGCCCTAGTATACAATATTTTCCACCAAACTTATTTAAGTATCGGCCGATCTCCCAAAATTAAGGAAATCGGTGCAACAAGAAGTCGGCCGGCTGCACCCCTAATGACAGTTATTGCAAAATGGTAAATATAAATTGTTGAGTTTTACTGGTGATTAACTGCACACAATACAATTTTGCCCAACCCTACTTGGTATTATTTTTTTTAAAGATATTCTTAGTTCATTGATTATAAGGAATGAATGTTGAAGGTGATGGGTTTTGGGTTGGTATTTGCTTATAAAACTTCACCCATATGTGCTGTGCACTTTGTGAATGTCAGGATTGATGTATTCAGCAGCCTCTGTATCAGTTCACCAGGAGGTGAGTAAACCTTTGGGCTGAGTAGACCAGGAGTCAGGAGGACTGATCCGTTCGACAGCCTCAGCACCATCAGCGTTGCACAGTCTGTACACTCAGTGCACGCCATTCGGCCGAGAAAACGGCAACAAACTGAACAGTGTTGTGCAAAAGGAGGTTTAAAACTTGCTGATTATGCTTCACTCTATTTTCAAAATAAAAAAAAAGGTTTGAATCTGACTGCGAGATGCATTGAAACCTAGTTCTTTTATCTTTTCTGATGTTTTTAGGTGGTGTGTGTGTCCCTACACCCAGGAACAGTCGACACGGACCTGTCCCGGCCTTATCATAAGAATGTGCCAAAAGACAAGTTGTTCAGTGCTGAACACTCTGTGAGCTGTCTGATGAACATCATTAATACGCTAAGCTTTGAAAAAACCGGGAGAGCGTACAGCTGGGATGGGACTGAACTGCCCTGGTGACATCAATATGGGAACAAGATGTGCAAGCTAATCGGCTGCTGTTCTGTGTGCGAGCCCTTGGACTGCAGTGTGTCTAAAGATGGACATTGTAAATGACACAATGGGAACAAGTGTGGTACAGATTGAACTCAACAAACTAACAGGTCAAATTGTCACTGAGAAACCTCACAGTTAGCCCAAGTGCTGAAGTTATCTTTGTTCAGATAAAGACAGATTTTTTATTAAAGGTTATATAAAGTTGTGGCATCACCTAAGTTGTTGTAGCACAGTTTATTACCTCCATTTTGCCTTTAGTGGGGGTGATGATACTTTTATGTGTGTACATTTGTTAGAGCTGAGCAATATTACAATAACAATAAATATATAAATATTGTGATAGATATTTCATCAGCATCAGTAGAAAATGTGTCAGATAGAATGTTGATAATTTCACTAAACTCCAATCCAGAAACCGCAAGGCATTCTGGGGAATGTAGTCAGAGGGAAGGCTTTAGCCACTCAACCTCTCATGGCCCAGCTAAGCAAGGTTGGTGACATCAGTCAACTCACTCACTTTTTGGTAAGTTAGCAACAACCTGTTAAGTAACACGCACAGTAGTGGTTTCATGTTTCACCGTCGTCTCATAACAGCTTAAAAATAATAAAGAACGATGAGTGCAACAGCTTAAGAGGATAAAAAGAAAGGTCACGTCACCAGTCAGGCAGTATTAACTGGCCTTTATTCTCCAGGTCCTTGTTTCAAACAAGTAAAACAAGATACTGATCAATAATTATTGAGACTGATTTAAAACGCTTATTTAGTGATGCATTTTCCAACCACATCGCCCTGCCCTTATATTTGTGGGACTGTGTTTGTGCTTACACACATGTTCTTATGTCTGTTGTGTTTGCAAAATATCAGAGGTGTCAACTAACTAAGTACAAATACTTTGTTACTTTACTTAAGTAGTAGTTTTGGTTATTTATACTTTAGTGGAGTAATTATTTTTCAGACTACTTTTTACTTCTACTCCTTACCTTTTAAAAATGCAAAAGTATTTCATTTCTATTTAACTTTGACTTGTTTTTATTCGATCCTTTCATTGTTCAGAAAAAAAAATTAATAAGTATAAATCTATCCAGACACATGGAGCCCATGGATAGAGTGAATTTGATTGTGGTTGATGAGAAGTGTAAATATAAGTGTAAAAAATGTAAATATATACCATTCTGACATCCTATTGGATTGAACTCACTCCACCACACCTGTGTAGTAGTTTCCCTTCACTGCTACGTCTAGAACAGTGGTTCTTAACCTGGGTTCGATCGAACCCTAGGGGTTTGATGAGCCGGTCTCAGGGGTTCGGTGGAGCTTCTGTCGCGGAGGTAAAGACACGCTTGTGTAAAGTCATGATGACACGCCCCGCTTGGCCATCAGTTGCTGCAGAGGATCACGTGAGATTTCTTGGCCAATCAGTACTGGCCCCAAAAAAGTATTTCGTGGATTAAAAAAAACTAATTAACTTTAAA